TTTTATTCAAATAATTATTCATAGAATGTTTCGAAAAGGAAAACTAAAATTGCATTCCAAATTTAAAGTAATTTCATTAATTTTTATAAAAAAACGTATTTTACCTAGGGATCAGAGGTCCAAACAGGACACTAGGCTAGTTCTCAACCTGATCCTGACCTGCCTGTCATAGGCATCACCTATGGTTTTCAGACTGGTGCAAGTTAGAGGTCCAAGCAATTTTTGGTCTGTCACTTGCACTAGTCTGAAAATCATGGATGATGCCTATGGCAGGCGTGTCAGGATTAGGTTGAGCAATAGCCCTAGTGCCCTGTTTGGATCTCTGATTTCTAGTCTGTCATCATAATTGTACTCGCTCCAAAAACTTGACAGGCCTAAAAAACGTGGTCTGTTTGGACCTCTGCTAGGGATGTACCGAGACCGAGACTGAATCGAGACTCTCGGTACATCCCTAATATTACCTAATTTAAAAAAAAAATAAGGCTTATGAGTTCAATTTTAGCTTCGATCGAAATGTCTGTAACGTTTTTTTCTTTTGTTTTTAGATGGTCTTTTGCCAGTCGTGGTGTTAATATGATTACAGAATCTATGATACAAATTCGTAATGTTCTACATCAATTACTTCCATTAGGTCAAATAAATTCTAAATCAACATATACATGTCCATATTGTAAATGGTCATTATTTTCATTTTCACAACTTTATATACATGTTCCACTTTATCATACAAATGAAGAAGAACTTTCAATAAAATGTCAAATATGTCAACGATCAACACGTAATTATGCTGTACATTTACATGAAGAACATAATGATGAACATCAACAACGTTCAATAGCTACACCATTATATGCATTTTCATTAGTTGTATGTCAACGTAAACGTGATAATCGTTTTCTTGTTGTTCAAGAATCAGGTTCAAAAGGTTTTTGGTTACCTGGTGGTCGTGTTGAAATAGGTGAACAACTTGATAAAGCAGCTGAACGTGAAACATTAGAAGAAGCCGGTGTTAAAATACGTTTAATTGGAATATTAAAAATTGAATTTGTACCACGATCGGATATTAATCGTCTTCGTATTATTTATTTTGCTGAACCATTTGATGAAGATAATTGTGAACCAAAAACTATACCTGATTATGAAAGGTTAGTTAATATTAAAATAACAAAAAAATTGTTTTTTTTGTTTTTTTCGATTAATATTTAATTCAATAAAATACTTGATGAATCAAATTTTATTCATTTAAATTAAATCTTCTTTTATTTTAGTTATGGAGCTATGTGGTTAACATATGAACAAACATTACAATGTAATACACAAGGTCAATTACGTGGAAATGAACCATTGAAATGGTTTAAATATATTGTACAAAATGGAACTATACATTCGTTAAGTATACTTTCGAAAACTGAAGTTTAAAATATATATATATATATTTCTTTTTTATTTTAATGAATAAATCCGAAATAATAAAAAAAAAGTATTGTTTTTTTTAGTGTTTGTTTTTTTTTGATAATTGAAAAAAAAAACCATTATTCGAAAGAGGCTATAGTTGATCTATTTTTTATAACGCATTCGTTGTACGATACGTTCTGTTTGTGCCATACTCACAGCTTCATCTTCTTTTAAATCATAATGCATTTCAGCTGTTGGTGGTGAAAAACTTTCACCATCATTTTCTTCGTCATTATCATCTTTTTTTTTACTACTACTACCATAAGCACGACGAACAGCTGCACGAGTCATACGAGAATGATAAACTGGTTCTGGTATTGATTCAATTTTATATTGACTTCGTAATTCTTTCATATTAGTACATTTTGAATAGGTTTCTTTAGCTACAGATGATGTTGTTCCAGCTATATTATCCATTTGTTTAACACGTAAATTTTTTTCTAATAATAAACGATTAACTCTTGTTGTTATTTCTTCTTCATCAACACCTTCAGCTTCAGCTTTTTTCATTTCTTTATTTATATCTTCTTCAGCATCTTTCATAAGACGTTCTAAAGATATTTCTTCACGTACACCACCAATTATAACTTGAGCTAATAATTTTGCATTTACCATTGGAACATATTGTCCACCAGTTAAATAAGCAAGTGTCATAAAAAAATCACGATAAGGAACTAAAAATAAAAATTTATTTATTTTCTTTTTTTCTTCTTTTAGAAATTCATATAACAACAGTAAAGTAGAATTTTGTGTTAGAAGGTTCATTTTTCTTAAGAAAAAAAAAGTACATCCAACTGTCCGATGTCGTTCAGCTGTATATTATGGCTACGAATAGACTCTTAGAAGATTAAGACAAGCTTAGAAGGTTTGGAATCCATGATCTATTGATAAAGAGTGATGAGTCTTTTAATCTGAGGTGTTATCTATAGGTTAGAAAGGTTTTACGAAAACGAACATGTATTTCGCGAGATATTCTATTTTCAAAAAAAAAAACAACAGCAATTTACCAAAGGAGAATATAGTAATCGAATGCACTTGAAAATTGAATTCGTTTTTACTGAAACTAGCGGAACTATGTCTTGATTTTTGTAAAAATTTCACTAAAATGATCATAGTTCTTCATTGATAGGTCAAAGTCTCAAGTCTTTCCCTCGTTCTATTCATTCAAGGCATATTCCTCAAAAAAGAAAGCTGTTAGTGCAACTCATAAATGATTTAAATGTAAAACATGATTTAGCTGCTGTTGCTAATCATAGGAAGATTATTTTATTATGACATATCTCTTCGTCATCATCCTTCGATTTAGTTCTTCAGAAATACAATAAGGAAGTAGTTCGCATAGTTTAACGAGATGCTATGGACTATCTATGAATAACATTTGCCATCGTCTATGGAAAGGAAAGGGAAATCTCCATTTTTCCTTCCGCATTCCTTTTAGATCGTATTTCACAATCTAACAATAATACTTTCGTTTGTAATTCGTCATAAAAATTACTCATCGTAATATTTTAGATCATAATTATAATCAACTAACCAATAGGTGGTTCGACTCCGACACAATAAAGTGTTATTTGTTTTTCAGCCATTTCTCGTACGGTTTTTATAGGATCAACACCAGACGGATCTCCTTCAGGGAAACCATCACCATTTGGATCAAGTCCATGTGGTGGTGCATCTGAGATAAGAATACAAATTTTAGTTGCCTCTGGACGCCATGATAATTTAAGAACATCATGTAATGCATCAGCGACAGCTTCCGGTGCATCACCACCACCTTGTGCATCACATTGTTCAAGCCAACCTTTCATTTCTTTAACTTTACTTGTAAAATCATGTACACGAGTAACAAATGTATTTTCCTATGAGAAATGACGTGAATAAAAATAAAAGTAAACAATCCTTGAAAACAAACTTGTGGAGGATGATCTCGATATTCAACAAGGGCTAAATGAATATTACTTTTTTCACTTGTTACTATTTCTTCAACAATTGAACGAATATTTTGTGTTGCACTTTCAATATAACTTCCCATAGAACCAGTACAATCCATAGCAAAAGCTAAATCTAGAATTTTTGTTTTTGTTATAAAAAAAAAAAGAAATTCTATTGTTGTTTTTTTTTTTTATAATATAATTACCAAGAATACTCGAATCATGTTTAGCTAATGCAGGTTGTTCAGGTTTTTCTACATGTAATGCAGCTGCCATTATACGTATTACTTTTGATAAAATTCTAAAGAAATAATAATATGAATCTGGTCGTCTGTTTTACTACCGTTCTTTTTTTTTTTTTGCATTACCCTTTTTTTAAGGGTGCTTGTTTTTTTCTCCTTGATGGTTGTGTAACAATGAATAAATATGCACGGAGAAAGGAAAGAAAGATTTTTTTTTTATAGACATCTTTATTGGTGAAGGTGAGTCATTAATATGTTGTCCTTCAGAAAAAAAGAACGAAGGATCTTTTTTTTTTCTTCTAAAGAAAATTATGATTAAAAAATGTGATCATTTTTTTTTTTAATAAAAGAAATTTGTTGGCGTAACCCTCCCCTGTTTGAAACTGAAATGTTGCATTCACCTGCGTTCTTTATCTTCTGTATATTAATACAACACATGTAAAATCTCTCTCGTACAAGACTTAGTCTTCATAATAATTGCTCATAAAAGAAACTATTTAGTTTATTTCTTTTTTTTTGATAATCGCTCATTATTTTTCATGTTTCTTAATTTAACATTATTGTTATTATTCTGCTTAGTGTTTTAACTTGTAAATAAGTGTGTCGTCGTACATATCAATTATATATATATCTTATAGATATGAATTAATAGATCAAAAACCGAGAGAGCCACAAGAAATTAAATTTATTCCATTTTACTTTTATGTTTTTCAAGCTACTTGATTTGCAAATTTTTTACTCTTTGTGTTTCGTTTAATTTCACTAATCCTATTGGTTGTGTCAATCCTTTTAGTCGTTTAAAGAGTACGTGCAAGTGCACGTGGATTGCTATGTTTCATTCATCCATACCTATACGTACACGTGTAAGTACACCCAAATGGACTGACACATCCTTAGGAATGTAAGCATAAAAGTAAAACAAGATAAGTTTGATTCCTTGTGGACCTATGCACAAACATTTATAGTGATTATTTCCTTAATGTTATAAATTAATCAATTCAAGTTTTTTTTTTTTTATGTTGATTATAGAACGACTATAGCGAATCTATGGGTTATTACTCATCGACAATATATTGAAATTTTAACAAAGACTTTGGAATGTTGTAAAATAATATAAGCCTTGTTGTTAATGTTTAATGAACGAGAGATGCAATATTTCCATCAATAATCATTAATCTTTTGTTTTTGTTAATAACGGAACGACTTGAACTAATTATGGATATGTTACTTAAAATTTTTCATCTAGCTTTAGAAATAATATTTCGAGTGAAATATCATTTTTTGTCTAATTAAGATCACCTTATAAAATTAAAATGGTACATATCAATTTCGATAGTTCTATTTTAGAATAGTAATCTTTTAAAATCTAGTCATGTCAACAACACGTAAACGTTATCTTGAATGGAAAAATCGTTCATTATTACCACAATTACCAATTGAAATTTGGGCTCATATTTTTTCATATCTTAAAATATCAGATTTATTATCAATACGTCTTGTTTCACGTTTATTTTATTCTTCTATTAATCAATATACATATTTTTGGTCATCAATTATATTTGATATTGATCAATGTCCATTATATTTAGTACAATCAAAATATTTTCATAATATACGTTCATCAAATATAAATTTATTTACAAAAACAAATATTTATTCACATTGTAATATTTATTTAAAAACTCAACCATTAATAAATTCAACTAATAAACGACGTAAACAACATTTATTTATATCAAATAATAATAATGATGAACAATTAAAAAAACATATTTATTTACATTGTTATTCAATATATTTTGAATCACTTCGTTCATTTGATCAATTACAACTTGAATATTTATTAAAAAAATTTATCAAACGTTTATATTTATCATATGAATTTTTATCAATTGAACCATCACTTAATTTTCTATTAAAACTTGAACAATTAAAATATTTAAAAATTTCATTTATACATAATATTATTGAACTTGATTCATATTCAATTATGTTAATTAATACAATGTCTGATATTATAAATTTATTATTTAAATTAAAAAGGTATTTTTTATTAATATATATAAAAGATCATCTAAATTTTCCGAATATAAGAAAATGAATAGATTCAATTTAATAACATAAATGATTAGTATTATTTTAAATAGTTATACATTCTAAAATTTAACAATCTTAGGATAACCTTGAAAAAACCTTCTTTTTTTCTTTCGATCGATACTTCATAAAATAAATTAAATATACTCGCGAACTCTACAACTTCCTGTATTTGTTTAGAACTTTTTTTTTTCTTCTTTTTATTGACTCTACGATTCGTTAACGATGAACAAATATTTAAATACATTAAAAATGTTGTTTGCTTTAATATAGAAAACCATCCGCATTGATACACATTATTTGAACCCAGTGTTTTATCTAGGTTTCGTTTCCCGAGTGGGCGAGTCGAAATTTCGGGTGAACGGCGCCCACTCGGCCTACCCAGTAGATAAATCACTGTTTGAACCTATGTCGAGGCTACAATTTATATAGTGCTTGTGGCGAATGATTGTTTTTTTGGATATTCGATGTCCCGAAAAAAGAACATCCTTTATCTATTGAAAATTTTATGATATTCTGTGTGTCGTTGAACTTATTTATAGACAAAGTTTTATAACGAAATTCTACTTTTTTTTTAATTCTTCGATATATATATATATTTAAAGTGATGAAACTTTTTCTTGTTACTTATAAATTTTTTAGAATAAGATTTTGAAATAATTTTCAGTTTCTAGTGTGATATTGAATATTGATTTTTAATTAAATATAATATATTATAGTTGATTTTGAATTCAAAATAATTAAAAATTTATGAACTTTGATTTGTAAAAATATAATTGATTTTAATTGTTTGTATTAGTATGAACTTTAAAAATCATACATAAACATTTATATATTTTGAAGCTGATTATCTATCATGCAATGAATAAATATTACACATTACTATTTTGATCTATGATGAAAATTTTCATAGAAAAGATTTATTAATTTTTTCTAAATAAAATTTCATTTAATTAAATATTAATATAGAATTGAATGTATGAAGTAATAATTTTTCTTCCAGATAGTATAAAATGTCTCGATTACAAAGTATTTTATTAATCAATGGATTAAATCTATTTAGTTTATGTATTGTTAGTCTTGTTGGTGATTGTTTATGTTTTGGTCGACCTCTATCAATTTATACTATTCAAAATATGTATCTACGTTCTCTAACTGATAATCTCATACATGGATTAGTTAGTGTTTTTGCTACAAGTTTTCTATTTGGTTGGACACAATATTCATTATTAATTATTGCTTTTTTATCTGGTTGTTTTATTGATATTGATCATTTTATTGAAATACGTTCATTATCATTAAATAGTGTATTACATAATCAACGACAAGATCGACCTTTTCTACATAATAGTCTTCTTTTGTTAATAATAACTTTAATTGTTTATATATTTGAATATTTTCTATATCAAAATCAATATAGTTATTATTCAATAATATTTTTTCTTGGTTGGTCAACACATCATTTAAGAGATGCTCAAAGACGTGGTTTAACATTATTACCATTGGGAGAAACTTCACCTATTAATAATTATTTATTAATTATATGTTTTGTATTAATAACTATAAAATTAATACATATATTTATTTTTAATATTCAATCAGTATCATTTGTAAATGATTCTATTGTTTAAATTCAAAAGATTAATAAATTGAAAAAAAAATTTCTATTCCAATATGATTACAATGTTCATGTTTTTTTCACTCTTCGAAATACTTTATTCAATCGAGATCATATATATATTTTTTTTTGTACAGACATATTAGTCGATTGAAGAAATATAGACATTTCTGAATTTGAAAGAGTTCGCATGGAGAAAAATGTGTTTTGCTATGTAAATTTGTTTTTTGACTTTTTTATGATCGTCTATATTTGTCAAATTCTATAGTACAAATATTAGCTAATCTAATAGAACTTTGTATTAGAAGATCCTAAAAAAACTTTCAGATTTTTTTTATAATTAGTGAAAACAAATTTTTAATTAATATCATTAGTAATTCGATCTTATATTCTTTAGAAAAGAAAACAATAATAATAATAAAGCAGCACGAAATGTATATATATATCTATAGACATTTATAATAATTGTATCGTTTATTCTAACTGTGATGATGTCTTGATCAATGTTAGTAGGTTAAGTAAATATTCATTAAAATTAATCTTTGATCAAAGATTGAACTTCAATATATACGAAAAGAAAACTATTTAATACAAATATAAATATTTGTTAAAAGTAACTTTTTTTTATTAACAATTATTTCCTTTCCGTTGTTAATCCAACTTTTGATATTATATAGTTATAATTTAAAATAAAACAAAAATTTTAATTCATTAAAAAAAAAAAAAAAAAGTTTTATATTAAATAGTAATAATATTTACTTTTTTTTTTTGTTATAGGTTGAAATCACTTACTCTACATAATTTATATTTAATTCAAACTTTTCCAGAAAATAGTATATGAATTAAGAATATTATTTTTCAATGAAATTTTTATCTTTATTTATTTTAGTCTATTTTATTGAACGATTACAATCAATATGGTTTGAAAATTGTATTAATATTCATTTTCTACTATCTTCTATTGATAAACAATCATTAAAAGTATTCGAATTTAAATTTAATTTAAAAAAAATGTATTTTATATTCTATTGTAGAATGTTATAATACGTCATTCAACATGTGATTATATTATATTAAAAAATTTTCTTGATCAATTAGATACTGTTCGTTATTTAGATTTAGCTTCATTACAAAGTAAAATATTATTTTTGAAAAAAATCTTTAATTTTATTAATTTAAATATTTTTTTGTTTTTTGCTAGTTATTAAATTATCAAATCAAACTAATGAACAATTATATCTTTCATCGAAATTAAAAACATGTAGTCTAAATAGTACAATATTAAAATTCTATTCGTTTTTGCCTCATATATCATTACGTTCAATTGAATTAATTGATATTAATGTTGATATATTATCCATGATTCTCAATCAATTTCAATCATTAAAAATAGTGTGTCTTTTGTAAGTCACCATAAAATAGAAAAAATGATCGTTCTAAAAACTTTATACATTTACGAGGGAACCTCTTCAAGTGTTAATACTCATATTTTTTGCCTATAAGTAAGACTTGATGAGACTAGCAGAAATCCGGAAGGATTTGTCTCCATACACCATTCTCTTGGAGTTACGACCTTTGGCAATGAAATTTTGTCCATAAATAGGTCTTATGATCACTAGAATGTTTAGTTAAAATGAACGTTTTCTTCTCGAAATATTGAGTTTTTAAGAAGCTCGATGTTCTTTGACCTTTGTTTTTGAAATATGATCGTTTCTTGAATATTCAATATCTTGAGAAAGAAACGTTCATTTGAACTGAAACTTTTAGGACATTCTAGTTGATCATGTGACCTTCTAATCTCATCAAGTCTTACTTATGAACAAAATATAAGCTCGATCGGCGATTAAAATTTGAAGAGATTTCCTTATAAGACGCATAAAACAGATAAGAAGAGATATGTGAAGCGAAAAATATTTTTACAATCATATTAATATTATTATTCAAATAAATTCACAAAAAATTGCGATCGAATTAACAAGAATGACTTGTTGAATATAACAAGTTCATCGTGATAAATTTTTTGAGTTGAGTTACAATTGATTTAATGACAAATGATATACTCTTCGAAATATTTTCTTTTTTCGTTACTCTTATAGATTCAATATGAGTTCAAATAGTTATTTTTTTATCATTCAAATCATGTTTCTAAATAATATTTATCATAATTTTAATCTATAATATTCATGTCTTATATATCATGTGAAAAATACATGACATAAAACAATAAACTAATCTTATGGGAGAAAGAAACAAAGAATAGGTTAAAACGTGGGTATATGTAAAACGATGCGCATGACAAGATAATGAATGAGGGTTTGGAAACAACATGTACCCTATTGACCTTACTACGGTCACACCTCTCAATGTCTTTAAAATTACTATGAATATTCTACTTTCAATTTTTATTACTAACTATGTCATCTAGAATAATTTTGAATGATTAATTATAATAATATAATAAAATTTCATAATAAACTTATATTTTCATAAGATTAATCTATTTTTCTTGTTTTGTTTTAGTTTTACAACTAAAAATCTTTCATTCTCATCAATAATTAATTATTTTCAACAACATCAATATTTTCAATTATTAATTCATTTTCATTTATTATTTATTGATGATGAACAAAAATTATTACCATCAAATATTTTAATTATGCCAATTAAAAATTCTCTATCTTGTTTTCATTATGAAAATCTACTTGAATAGAATATACATATATATATTCAATAAATATCTTTTACATAAATGAGCACGTTTGTTTTTTATTTTTTTTAATCTCTCAAGAATTATCTTCTTTGCTTTGTTGTTTTTTTTTTAAAAAATAAATAAACAAACAAACAAACACGCACACGCGCACAAGGAAGAAAAGAAAGAACAAAAAAAAAAAAAGAAAACTGTTGAAACACCTTTGTTTTTGTAGTTTTTTTTTTTTTTTTTTTCTTTTTTTGTTTGTTTGCTTTGTATAAGTTTTTGAAAAAAACGAAAGAAAAGGAAAGAAAGAAAGAAAGAAAGAGGAAAAAAAAAAGAAACACATCTACATATCCATCGTCGGTTGTTGTACGACTAGTTCATCAAGTACGAGATCAAAGTCAAGTGGACAATCAATAAATGGTAAAGCAATAAGACCAAATGGTTGATCAAGTTTATCAACTGTTGTCAATGATATTTGTTTTGATTCAGATTTTATATTTAATTCTTTAGTCCTTTCACGTTCATAAACAAAAGCAAGTTGTTCAATAGGTGCTAATAATAAATCAGGTCTTGCTTCTAATTCTCTTTTATCATGTTCAGCTAATATACGTTTACGATGAGCTTCAACAAGTTCAGCAACTGTATTATATGATGAACATATTATTGACATATCAGGTGATAATGGTGTTGACTGTTCGATATTAAATGTTTGAATTTGTTGTTGTTGTTGTGATGGTGATGATAAATTTTTATCTTTTCTTCGACGTTTCTTTTTTGGAATGACAGGTATAGATGATGGTGGTTCTGGAATGTTTGTAGAAAGAGGCCAAGATGTCGTACTTATTATCGATGATGATGATGATGATGATGGAGAAACAGGTGAACCACCAGCACTACTACCATTTTCCCAATTTGTATTTGTTGATGATGGACGTCGTACAAGTCCTCCTGGTGGACGTTTTGATGATGAACCGGTTGATAATGTTGAATTGCTAGGAGATATAACATTTGGAAGAGTAGAAAATGATAATTGTTTTTGATAATTAGTACTACAACAACAAAAAAAAGAAAAACAATTATATTTATTTTCAAATTTTTTTTTTTACAATTAATCCACTTATAAAATAGCAATTTTTATTGTCTTATTATTTACAAAAATTAATCAACAATAACTAAATAGATTTTATTAATCGATATATTCTATATGAACTTCAACAAAAGTTAAATCATATAATCATTGAAGTTTATTTAATTTAAGTTAGTTACTATTGTAAAAAGAAAGTTGTAAATTGAATTTGGAGAAAAAAAAAAACAATGTCCTATATTAAAAACTTTGTTTTAGTAAGTTTTATGAAATCAATACTATTGAAAATTATAGAAGAATTTGTAAAAATAAGTTATAGTCAATGCAGAAAAAAACGAATATTTTATTTAAACTTACAATTCAAATTAATCTTAAATACTATTATTATACATTGTACTTTTTTTTTTGTGTCTGTTGCTATGGAAACATATCTAAAATGATTTTCTGACTTTGATTTACTATTTTTCTTTGAAAAATTAATTAAAAAATTCTACAATTTTTAGCAAAAAAAGAAAAAGTTTTATGTCATTTTCAATTCAATCTCACTATAAAAAAAAAAACCACAATTTTTTTGTTTTTCAATAATCAATCTATAATAAGAAAAGTACAGATATGATTATATCATATAAATTATTAATTATAAATAATAATAAAAATTTAGTGAACAGATTGCAAAACAAAGAGTCTGTATGTATTTCTTTTAATATTAAACATGAACAAGACCTGGATGATGTCTGTCTCGTTCATATGTCTAATAATGTTTTTTGTCCATCCTTTAATTTTTCTACGTATGACTACACATAAATCATAACTTCAATTATCGTATGAATATTTATCTTTCGATAAAAAAAAAAAAAAAAAAGTAATTTATAATTAAAGTTATATGTATTCATATGTAGAAAAAAAAAAGCTAAGATAATATTTGAAAATTTTATTTATTTTTATGAACTAATGAAATTTATACTTAAAAAAAATAATAATCTATTATAGTAAAATAAAGATATTAATTTAATAATTACTTGATATTTGAATTTGTTATATCTCTTCCATGATGTAAAGCTGAATAATCAACTTTTCCTTTTTCATGTAAACTTTCATCAATAATTTGATTTTGTAAAATAGCATTAACTGTTGGTGTTTGTGTTGATAAAACATCAGGTTGATTCATTTGCATTTCCATAAGTAATTGTTGAGTTGTTTTTAATCTAGGTAAACTACTTATTGATTCAATTAAATTAATAGGTGATGATATTGATGATGATGATGATGATGGTGCTGGTGGTGATGTTATTGGTATATCAATTTGAGCTTTTCGTCGTTTAGTTGATAAACCATTTATTTCAGAATCATGTTTACGTTTTATTTGTGTTGTATTATTAATATCATTATTATTACTATTTGTTGTTATTGATGGATTTATTTTAACTTTAAGTATTAAACGAGGTTTGTCTGATGGAGGAGATTTTGATTCATAAATTTCACCATTTGTTATAGGAATAGATGATGATGATGATGATGATAACGGTGGAATAGATGATGATAAGGGACTATTACTATCAGTTTGTGATGTATTAAGTAAACCTTGCCATGATCGTAAAAGTTTTTTAGCACGTTGAGCTATTTCAATTATAGATTGTGGATGATCTGCTGTTGATTTAGCACTTTTTTTTCGTGCATCAATTTTTTGTCGAATTGTATTTATTTCTCGACCAAGACGAGTTGTCTAGATGAAATAAAAAAGAAAAAATTTGTTTTTTTTTTTTTGTATTAGTCAAAAAAAAAAAAAGACAAAATCAACAAACTTGTAATTGATCTCTAGTTATTTGAATTTTTTCTAATTGAGAAATAATATCCAAGACAAGTTCAGGATTTGTAACCTAAAGAAAATTGTATTTTTTTTTTGGTTTTTTTTTTTTATGTTTTATTTAAATAAATTTAGAAAAAAACATTTACATTATAATCAGCATCAACGGCGCTCAATAAACTATTTTTGAGCGTTTCAAGCGATGACGAATCACTTTGCATTGAGTATTAATTTTATTTTGAATAGTTTATTTTTTTTTTTTGTTCAAATAATTTAATAAACAAAAAAAAAAGAAAAGAAAAGAAAACAATCAAATTGAATATTTTTGTTTAACCATCATATTTAATAAATCATAACAATTTAATCATATATTTATATATCAATGTCCTTCATTCTTTTGTTATTTTTAATATGTACATTATTCAACAGAGATCAATATGAATAGGAATAATAAATAACACAATAAACAAGAAAAAAAAATGAAAAAATTTTGGTTTTAATACAAGAGAAGATAAATAATCGATCTACAAATAAGAGACTAGACTATATAGATGTTATGCGAAATTCAACTGAAATGAATTGCTCTGTTCTGTATTTATTCCTTTTGCTTTTGCTTGCCCTTATATGTTGTAATAATTGGTTCGAGATGAATCACAAATGGGAAATATTTGTTAAACCTCTGCAATATAGATAATTTTCTATTGGTTATTGTTATTGTGCAAGTTTTTCAAAAGAAAATTTATTATATAGATGTCGTACATAGATGGTTTTGACAAAAATTTTTTTATTATATGAATTTATTTAAAAAATTGAATAAACTTATATATAAAATTTTGAAATGATTAGCAAAAATATTTAATAGATTTTTGATTAAGATTAATCGAATAAATATCATTACAAATTAAGTTAATTTATACATTCTAGTTTACTAGGAAAATGCATATGATTGAATTGAAATATATTAAGTTCTGCTATATCAGATATTCATGATGCATCGTAGGCTTATCGCCCGTTAGGGCCAACCAATGTACGGATTAGTTTCTTCCATATTCGTCGGTCTCAGGGGCGGCGCGAAGAGGTCAGAACGGGGAGGTTACTCCTCGCTCGCGCCGCACCTGGTCGATTTTGCTTCAGATGAAACAGATCTTGTCCGCTGTATCCACATCAATCTTTGATGTCGTCCAGTCATTCTCTACCAGTGGCGGATCTTGGATTTTGCCAAAGTGAGGGGAGCTACTTTTTTTTGAAGCAGTAAGAAGTATAGATTAGTGCGAATGGAATTATCTTTGTGAGGCTTTTATGTTGGTTAGGGAAGGGTTAAATTACATAGTAAGTTTTACGTGGCGTAATCGCTTTGAAACTTCAATCGCCGAACTGTTAGATCCGCCACTGTTCTCTACATGGACGTCCTCTTCAAGGTTTTTCATCTATCTTTGCGAATGTTGTATGTTTTATCAGTCTGTTATCGTCCATTCTACAGATATGGTTGAATAGTGTTAATTTTCTTTTTTTTTGATTATGTCAACTGGTTTCTTCTTTCTTATATCTTCATTTCATGAGATATTCAACTCAATAAAATATTTCATTCTCTATATCGAAATTGAAGATCTACTGATTCATAGAATTCATTTGATTTGAAAATAGCGCAATCCCTTGCGGAATTAAAAATGTGAAACACGATGTAATTGCTGTTTCAAATCTTTTAAAAGCTGTTCTTTTCAATATATGTTGGGGTATATTTCTTTACCACGGATTACTTTACATTATATAGTTCAAACAGGATAATATTCCATATATTCTCTAATCATATGTTAGTTATACATTATCTGATTGTTGCTTAAAGTCTTCTATCACAGTCTGTGGTTTGTATAAGGCTGTCTGTCACGTCTGTGACAAGCCGTTTTTAACGTGTCTGTCACGTCTGGGGGGGTAGTGGGTGCAAATTTCTACCCCTATACACTTCAACACTCTCTTTTAGATCGTGTTTCACAATAGTCATAATTGCGGAGCACGAATTTTGATAGTCTTATCATAATATTTATACAAGAAAAAAACAACGACTAAATTACCAATTCGATAGGAAAAAAAAATTATCAAATACTTTCTTATGACTAAAAACAAAAATCA